GGAATTTCCTGAGTGATGGGAGTGTCTTTTGTTAAGTGTGCCTCTTTTCAGCCACGCCTGAGTTTATGCTAATAGGGTGACCCTCCTCAGCCCCTGGGATGGCTTCAGGGTGGGGGCTGGTTGCCTGAAGAGGCAACCATGGGATTAGAGGGTTGGAACTTTCAGCCCCGCGCCAGACCTCAGGGGAGTGGGCTGAAGGAGTTAATCACTCAAGTCTGCGGAATGAGGCCTCCATTAAACCCCGAAGTGAGGGGGTCCTGCGAGGTGCTGCTGGGTGGGGAGCCCTGAGTGCATAGAAGCTTTGCAAACTTCAAACCAGCCCCCCCACCCCAACTCTGCGCCTCTCGTCTCTTCCACCTGGCTGTTCCCAGATTGTATCTTTTAAGATAAACCAGTCATCTTAATGTTTTTCCAGATCTTGAGAGCTGTTCTAGCAAATTATGGAACCTAAGGAGAGGGGATCGTGGGAATCCCTAATTTAGAGCCGGTTGGTCAGAAGTACGGGTAGCAGCCTGGGACTTGGGACCAGCGTCTGACAGCCAGGGCCGTCTTGTGGACAGAGCCCTTGACCTGTGGGGTCTGCACTGACTCCAGGTCATTAGTATCAGAACTGAACCGAACTGGAGAACCCCCAGTCGGTGTCAGAACTGGTTATTGGTGTGGAAAAAAAGCCACATGACCGTGGTGTGGAGAGAGTGCCGCATTCTGTGTCTTCCGGTGGTTAATAATGACCTCAGACCAGGGAAGAGGGAGGGCAGACTGCTAAGAGCCGTCACCCCAAAGTTCAGGAAAAGAGCATTCCTATAGGAACCATGATCTTCCAAGGAAGCTCTGATTAACTGCCTGAAACCCTGTGAGGTGGGGGCACCTGGGGGGCTCAGTCGGTTGAACGTCTGACTTCAGCTCAGGTGGTGATCGCATGGTCCGTGGGTTCGAGCCCCGCGTCGGGCTCTGTGCTGACAGCTCAGAGCCTGGAGTCTGCTTCGGATTCTGTGTGTCCCTCTCTCTCTGCCCCTGCCCCTGCCCCGCTGATACGGTGTCTCTCTCTGTCTCAAAAATAAATAAATGTTAAGAAAAACAAAAGAAACCCCTGTGAGGTGGGACCCCCATCCGCAGTGGGGAAGCCCACCGCGACCTGCAGGTCCAGCAGCCGGTTCTCTTGGGGCACATTACCTGGGTGGTGACTCAGGCTTTCCGGAAAAGCAGCTTGTGTAATCAGCAGCTGGGCACAGCTCACCCCGTGACCCGGGAACTTGGCATCAGCTGAGCGCGCTCCGAGGGTCAGGCGGAGGCGGCCTCGCCCGGCCGTGCGGACACAGGGCCGTCTCCCCAGAGTCCCCGCACGTCTCGAAGGAGCACGTTTCTGTCTGTCGAGGCTCATGACGGCAGGCCTCAGAGACGGCTGGTTCCCAGGGTCCGGGTATCCACCCGGCCGGAGCCTGTCCTGCGAGGTGCTGCTGGGTGGGGAGCC